TTTCAACGTTTTTATTTATTTTTGGGACAGAGGGAGACAGAGCATGAACGGGGGAGGGGCAGAGAGAGAGGGAGACACAGAATCCGAAACAGGCTCCAGGCTCTGAGCCATCAGCCCAGAGCCCGACGCGGGGCTCGAACTCACGGACCGCGAGATCGTGACCTGGCTGAAGTCGGATGCTTAACCGACTGCGCCACCCAGGCGCCCCAAAAATAAATCTTATAAAATCGCTGATGGTGATACCCCATCACCAATAAACTTGCCTACACACACACACAAATCTTTACAATGAGAAACTTGTGTGGATGGAATATGCTTTGTGTTGAACTTAGTGGAAAATGTCCATGCCAATGGAGAGAACTTCAAAAATATTCTTATATTTTAAATAATATCTCTGCTTTTCTAAGGTAACAAACAAGGCAACCTTTCTTGTGAGTTGACTGAAAAAAACTGTGCTGGTAAATCTTTTCAAGCATTTCTGAAAAGATGTTTTTTTGTCCTGCCACAGAGTTTATCAACAGTGCCCTAATTATCAGGGACCCTGTTTTTAAAATGGAGTATCTTAAAATAGGTCTCATATAATTTTCTGTTTAACTATTTATGTCACGTGCTGATTGATTCCATCCCCCCTCTCTTATTAGCTCAGCAAAGCTGGATGAAGAATTTGAAAAGAAATTCAACAGCCTCCCTCAATACAGTCCTGTTACATTTGACCGGAAATGTGTACCTGTCCCAAGAAAAAAGAAGAAGACTGGAAACATGGCCTCGGAACCGACTAAAACCAGCAAAGGTTAGATGTGTGCTCTACAGTGCTCTACAGATGTGTCCTCCTACGGTGTGGTCAGCATCTCAGCCCTCTTCTAAGCTTCTGCAACTCCCTTTAGATACGTAACTGGATTTAGACTGAGGCAGTGAGGCAGCAGCCATTAGAATTTTAGCTTGCTTTCCAGGGTTGTTTTGGCTCCCACCTCACTTCTCTCTCCCTTCTTTCTCTCCTTATCCTCCTCAGCCTCTCTTCTTTGACATCCCAGCCCGAGCATTTGCCCTTAAATATGTCATTTTTTTTGAAAATTTTACACATGGTCTTTGACTTTCTGCTCTTCAGAATTCTAACCTGGAGATGTTAAGCTTTTCTTGAGCAGAAACTGTTGGCCGAGCCTCACCCTTCTACTCACTCTATCTGACAAGTTGAACTCTGGGACTATGAAATTGTTCTATTTGCGTAGTAAGAAGACTCCATTCTTTACTGGCAGTATGAACCAAATGAAAATAATGCTCTGGCAATACCTTTAAATTGGTTTTATTAAGTTTAGAAAAATGCTATTTAGCATATTCGTTTTGAAGAATATCACCATCTTCCCTTGTACATAAGGGGAGCTTTTATATTATCAGCATGACTTGGGTGGATCTCAGCATTCATCAAGGGCAACACTGTAGTTCAAAGAACGGTGGTAAAGAGTGTGAAGACCACCTTTACATGTGGGGCAGGGACTGGGATTCTAAACATAGTAACCTGCTCAGGACATTTCAAGCACAATAAAGGACTGTCCTACCCAAAATGACAGCATTGCTTTTATTGAGAAACTTGTCTTCTGATTTTACTCCAGTCTAAAAACTGGTGGGAAAAATGTATCTCTAGTTTTCCATACAGATGTGAAAGACGTCATCCCATTTAGTCACTTCCTGTAAGGACAGTGAATGGAGAAATGAAGAACTGGTGTGGCTGAGTTTTTGTTGCTTGTAGGATCTGATGGAAGAGTTGATGTAGGGGTGCCTGGGTGGCGCAGTCGGTTAAGCGTCCGACTTCAGCCAGGTCACGATCTCGCAGTCTGTGAGTTCGAGCCCCGCGTCAGGCTCTGGGCTGATGGCTCAGAGCCTGGAGCCTGTTTCCGATTCTGTGTCTCCCTCTCTCTCTGCCCCTCCCCCGTTCATGCTCTGTCTCTCTCTGTCCCAAAAAAATAAACGTTGAAAAAAAAAAAAAAAAAAAAAAAAGAGTTGATGTAATTTACCCTGTACAGGTGGCTGCCTCCTGCCTGTTCCATGTCAGATCAGATACTTTCCCTTTTTGTGTGCATTTTAGATGGATGGATGGATAGATACAAGATGATACATATCTTCACATGAATCTTGCTAAATTCTAGCATTCGTGGATAATCAACGATAAATATTAATGAGCAGATACAATTGCATCGAGTTAGAGGGACGATATAAGGTCTAGGAAAAATTATGGTTTCTTTGAAGAAATTTAAATTTTCTCCCTCTAGACCTAAAACCTTCTTTGGACACCACAGTTGACACAACTGAGGACAGTCACTTTGTGATCTGTATCTCAAGATAGATCTGTATGGCTGAAGAAAATTCTTCCTTCGTGATTAAAGGTGGAGAGGAACATAAAAGTGATTTCAGAATTAGCTTGGTTTTCCTCTGTGGTCAATAAAAACAAGTCTAGTGAATAAAGAACTAAAAAAGAAATGTTGCTTCACCAAGTTTGCTCATCTGGGAAAAGAAAGTAGGGTTATATTGAGATCTTCCAAGATAAGTAGGAAAGAAATAAAATAGCCTTGTTGACAGGTAGGTAGCTGAACACTGTAATGGATTACCAATGAAATGACAATCTTTGTGCCCTAGGGATATCTAGGAATAGGCAAAGTAGTCCATGAGCCCAAAGATGCCAGGTATCATGAGCTCCCATAATTCTTGGATTTAAAGTTACTGATAAATACCTGACAAGCCAATAAAGTGGAACTTAATTGATTGATGCACAGGATGTATTCTTTTCCTCCACTCCTGGTAGTTGGAGACATTCATTTTCGAGCCCTGAAGCTGGCCAAATTATCTATCAGGGAATGTAACAATAGATTTATTTTTGTAAAGCTATAAAACCCTGAGTTAGGATCTATTTTCATGAGACCTTCTCTTGGGTCTTAGTTATCTGTTATATGTTTTTCCTCTCCCAGCTGAGATTAACAGTATTTCTTTTGATGTGAAATAGGTTTTTGGAGCTTTGGATTATACTTCATACAATATCATCTTAACGCTTCTGTTATGCCTCTCAAGCCCAAAGTCACTGGTTCTTACAGTGTATCAGTAATTACGTGGGTAGGAAGTCTTTCAAGACTTTAGATTTTGCTCTGCATTCTGACTCATGGAGCAAAATGCAGTTAAAATAAAACAGACACTAAATGATATATTCTCTATTTAGCAAACTAAAGAAATAGTATTTGTAACTAATTGTAATTTGGCATTAGCACCACCAGTGCACTGTCCCACAAGTTATTAATGAAATTATCATACCAGCTGTGCTGTAATTGCCTGATCTTTAGAGGATAGAGAAGATTGTTTTCTTAGACTCTAGACTCTTAGCATCTGTGCATAATGAATTGTTCAAAGCAAAAACTGTGTATGAAATCATTAGTTTATTAGCAAAAGAGCATGTGTCCATAGGAAACCTCATTTCTTCTTCAGCAGTTTAGCATTTTGCCTTTATTTTCTTATGTGTTTATCATTCAACATTTATTATATTTTTTTCCTGCCTTATACTGGGTATGTTTTTTAGCTACTCAAGGTTATGTAAAATATATAGAATTTTTCTGAATTGTAGTATCTAGAGGAAATGGTTATGTATGTATGCATTTATACAGTCACATATCTCAACAACATAGTATCTGCATGGGTTTATGATTGTTTTCCCAGTTGTCTCCTTATTTATATCTGCATTTCCAAAGACTCTCTTTCCCTTGTCCATTGTCCCCTCCGCTATCTTTGCCCTATCCCTCATGTCTGTATACTGGGTCTTGTCAGAAACTCTACAACAGAAACTCTACAACTCTACGACTCTACAAGTAGGTAACTTGGTTAAGTGTCCAACTCTTGATTTCAGCTCAGTTCATGATCTCGCAGTGAGATTGAGCCCCGAGTCAGGCTCTGCACTGACAACATGGGGCCTGCTTGTGATTCTCTCTCTCCCTCCCTCTCTGCCCCTCCCCTGCTTGTGTGTGTGTGTGTGTGTGTGTGTGTGTGTGTGTGTGTGCACTCTCTCAAAATAAATAAACATAAACTTTAAAAAAGAAAACTAGGACAAAAAGGGTGAGCATAACTAAATGATACCTTCCTCTGACTGGGCTCAGGCTATATTATAGTAGGCAGAGCACAACGACTTAGGAAAAGATTTTCCCTTGCTTCTAAGAACAAATTACCCAGTAAGTTGTAATGCATCTAACTGGTACAGTTCAGTTCAGGCAGCCCAGGCCTATAGTGTTTTCTGGTTTATCTCCCTTAGTTACTTGTATATATTCAAATAAAAGCTTTAAATTATAAGTCTAAATTTAATTGTAACTTAAGGGATAGGTTTTGACACATTATTTTAAGTATATTGTTAATTTATGAAGCACTTTTTACAAAAGTATCAGAAGTCAGAGTGCTGTACAGAATAGTAATTTTCAGACAAAGTCGGGTCATGAAGAAAACGTTAATTGAGTTGAACTTAGAGTGTTTAAATTATGCCCCAGCTTGACCCTTGACTTCACTTTTCCCCTGTATATCTTCAGTCTTCCCACATTGTTCCTTAGCCCATTATCACACATGCTGTTGATCCTCATATTTTAAAATTGGAATTCCAAATGATTAAAGATTTTCAATTTTAAAAAATCACAATGATAATAAACGACTCAGGTTTATAAAATTAAAGGTTGAGGACAGAATCCCCCGTTTGGGATTGAGCCAAACTGAGGCTACATTCAGTGTTACAGCACCTAGTGCTGATGTCAGCCAGCCCAGCCCTTCCTATCAAGAAGTTATAGCTTCCAGGTTGGGCAGAACTCTGTATTTTGCCCTGTTAACCGAGAGTCTTCATTGCCACCAGATGTTTGCAGGAACATGGGGATAGCACATTTGCAGATGTAAAAGGTGTACCTAATATAATCCTGAGTTCCTTCACAAGGCATGCATGTCTGGCTCAATGAGGTAGCTTCTTCCCCTCATTGAATCCTAACTTGACTGTGGCTGGCTCACCCAGACTTCCTCAAGTCAGCAGATCCACATGCCCAGTAGCTGGGAGCACTTAGCTGTAAATTATCACAAAGGAATTTATTGTTCCATTGTGTCTATTACAAAAATGATAGCCAATTTTAGAATAAAACTTCTGCTTTTTTTATAGCTTAGAAACATGAAACCATTGAACCTGGGCATAAGTCACCACCATTTGAGTTATGCATAACATTTGTTCCCTACAACAGTTTTTGAAAAGCAAGGTTTACTAAATCACCTTACCTGCTGACCTTAAAAATTTATCATAACAGGCTAATACTGAACTGGCTCCTGTGTCACTACAGCTCTTTACCCCCCCCCAAAGTGTCCTGTGTCACTACAGCTCCTTAACCATGAACAACATTAATGTTTTGGAAAGGTTATTTATTGTTAATGTCTCTGTGGCACTGCTCTTATCCTCTCAGGCGGAGGTTTTCTGTTGTCTACCCAGCTATGAAGTTAGGTGCCAAGGAGATGGATTTTGTCAAATTATAGGCCATCCTGCCTAAAAACTTCAGTGGAGTCCTAAGCTAGTTTATATACCAGCAAGAAGTGATTTTTGTCATAAGGAAGTAGAAGCTGATTCAAACGCTCCTTCAAGAAATTTGGTTTGGCGATGCGGGAGAGAAATGGAATCAGAACTTGAGGTGGTAGTTTAGTGAAAGACTGTTGAAGTTTTTTTTTGAGTAATCTCTTCCCCCAACGTGGGGCTTAAACTCACAACCCCAAGATCAAGAGTTGCATGCTTTACCAGTGGAGCCGGCC